CCTCGTGTCTATTAGCCGGTTGGTTGTGCAAAGGTAGAGCACGTGAAAAACGACCTCCTGGTACTGATGGGTGTTTTGCTTCAGTCAACAGTTTAAAGACTTTTTTATACAAAATCAAAAACCAAAAATAAAGAGAAGCATGTCAAGTTTCCTGCCTTACAACAATAACTTGTGTCAAACAAACTTCGGGGATCTGAACCAAACTCCCGTCTGCAGCTCTCATCGTCTCACCAGCTACATCGACCTGAATGACAGCGTGTGAGAATACCTGGGCTTCGGGGAGGTTAACATCCAGGATGACCGGCTGGCCGTGGGGCTCCCCGTTCTCTAGCCTGGAGTAAACCAGCTGGTATCCTCTGATCTGCCCGTGCTGCTTCACGGACAGCGGGGGCTTCCAGCTCACCCTGAGGGCAGTAGAGTTCAGGGCCTCCACCTCCACCTTCCTGGGAGGAGCTCCAGGCACTGAAACAAACGAGAGAACACAAATTACATTTAGAAAGTGGAATGTTTGGTTTTGTGCGTCTCAATAGGTAGGCTACTATTAACCCACGTCTTCATGAGACTGTTAGCATCTGCTCCTCAGAAGCTGAATATCTGCCTTACTTTGTACTCTTTACTGTTTCCACAGTAACGTTTGGAGGCTGAAAGATTTGCGAAGCAGGATTTCACCTTCAACAAGTACAAACAGACGTGTTGTGTGTTCAATACACCTGATAAGTGTCACAGTGTCTGTTTTTCTCACTGTGGTAATTGTCAGTGTGAATATTATTCACTGAAAAGCTTGTTGCTGTTTCTTTGTGCCTTCATGTGATTCACTTGTTGGCACTGCTTCATGATGGGAAGAAGAATAAGTGAGAAATTTGTTTCCTTTTATTTTCCTTTTTGTTAGAAATTTTTATGATTCATGAGTCGTTTTTGGCGAATGCTCTGGTGGTTTGGTGAGGCTTTGGCAGAGGGATGTGATGCTGTCACTCCAACATCATTTTTGTTTCAGTTTCACTGCTGTGTTTACTGCTGGTGCATTTTAACACACAACACCATATTTTCATAAAACGAACCAATTCGTTTTTAGAGTGAAAACCCCAACAGACTATTTTCTAGTGTTTTTGTAAGCTTTTAGTGTTTCGCTCTCTCGTCACACAGGCCGAGAGACTGGTCAGTGATCTCCTGGCAAACACCAGTCAGACCAGTCGATTAAGATTCGCTGGGAGTCGCTAGGTGACACTTTAAAGAGGTATAAGAAACTACACGTAGCACCGAAAATGTTTTCTATGATTACCTGCTTGCTTCTGTCATCACCTGTGGTTTGCATGTCTGCAAACATTCATCAACTACTCACAGAGGAGCAGTGACACTGAAACGTGTGACACAGAATAGGAATAGAGGCTGTTTCCCTTCAAAATCACAACTTTTACTTTGACACTCTCCACTTCCTTTGTCCAATACTGCACAGATCTACAAGCAACCAGAGAAACCACACGAAGGTTTTCAGTGCAGCTTTGAACCAGCAGCAACTGGTTGAGGTACACGTTTCACTAGCAGCCAGAGGTCGTCAGTAGGGATGGGTACCGGTGTCCGGTGCCATCAAACGGTAGTAACCAGACCGAAAAGCAGCGCACATTTCGGTGCTTTATTTTCCTGAGCTGTCATACACCTTGAATTCTAGCCAATCATTTTACGTTTCCGAGGATAGTAGGCGGGTCCAGGTACGTACGTTCTTTTAGAGCAGAGCTACAGATTAAAAATGCCCAAGGCGAAGCGGTCAAAGTCTGGC